TGGTCAGTGGAGGAGGGTGGTCAGTGGAGGAGGAGGGTGGTGAGTGGAGGGACGGTGGTCAGTGGAGGAGGGTGGTCAGTGCAGGAGGAGGACTTGGTGGCTGAGGACCTGGGCGAACGTATGCCTGGGAGACTGAGGGTGGATTGCTACCTTCTTCCTAGACAGAAACTCAGCACATCACTGCTTCCACTATGTCTAGACATTTCCCTGCAGGAAGTAAGTATGGACAATAAAGTGACAAGAACAGGTAGAGCCAGGTTTTTGTTTTATGAAAGAACACACAAAAGTAAAGAAACATCCCAAAGGGAATTCCTGTGAGACAAGATATGGATCATCACTAGAATGAGACGCTGGTGCACTTCAATGCTGGGGCGATGACTAAAGCTATCTGAGGTCCCATTATATAAACGTGTTCACAATCTGTGTGCCTGCCAGGCGGAAAGCTCTAAGTATTATTTCAATATTCAGGTATTTCAAAATCACACAGTGTGTACATTTTCTCAGTGTTATGCTGCATATATAATATGTGCTTAATATTCTTTGATGATTTAATCTGCCTATTGTTTTCATTTCATTTTGCATTCATTTATCAATGCAAAATTTGGGTCAATATAACAATCTTCATAGATGCAAATAAATTACCAACTCTTTACAACTGGTTTAAATATAACATTCAGGAAAATGAAAGAAAAATGCCATTCTTAGAAGTAACATCTATAATGAGCCAATGTTACAAACGTTACTAAGAGGGCAATTTAATTCTAGTGTGTCTGAAGGTCTTCCCTAGAAACCTCTCTTCTGGAAAAAGTGGGATTTTTCTTTTTCATTGTATTCATTTTGAATGTGCCACATTAATCTATTTTATTGGTGACTTTAATTTTATAGAAAACTTCCTTATCCTCCTATATTTCACAGCCATTTTCCCCATCATAAAATTACTTTTCATACATTACACTCTATGAGCTTCAGAGAACGCACATGTTCTTAAGAGGTAATGGGTAATAACACAGGCATGGACGGCTTTATTAATTCATCTGGCACTAATGGTATCTTAAGCGCTTCAGCCAATGCCATTCAGCTTTCCTTGGAGCTTTTGGAGACTGAGGGCAGTTGGAAAAAAAAAGATTGATGCTTTGAAATAGGACCAGAAGCAAATGTCACTTCATTGCTTTATGACTTTAACCTATATTGTGCTATAAAATGTCCCCCCGCATTTTGGAAATGATGGTTACTCATTTACTGTAATAGCATCAAGATCATTATGAAGTGTTTTTAATTTTAATTTGACCCAGTAGAATTATAGATCCATAAATTTGTGACTTGGAAGATCCCTTAAAATCATCATTTAACTCTCTCAGTTTAAAGATGAGGAGATTGGAACACTCAATTTGGAAAAATAAATGACTAAAATGATGCTATTTGCTCCCAATGTTATTAGGATAGCGTTAGGAACCTAACTCAGATATCCTTCCCACCTTCGTTCCTTCCTTCTTCCTTTCTTCTTGTGTTTTTTGCTTTTACTCTTAATTATCCTTTCATATGTTTTATATCAGGATTCTCAATCCTAGGGGTACATTAGAATGATAAAGGAATAATCCAGGAATCCCACTTCTGGGTATTTATCTGAAGGAAATAAAATCGACATGTGGAAGGGGAATCTGCTCTCCCGTGTTCATTGAGGTGCTGTTCACCGCAGCCAACACACAGAACCAGCCTCAAGCCCATCAGCAGAGGCACAGATAAAGAAAACGTGGAATACCTACTCGGTCTTGAAAACTGAGAAATCCTGGCATTTGCAACAACATAGATGAGCCTGGAGGACATCATGCTAAGTGGAACAAGCCCGGCCCAGAAAGAAAGAGGCCATGTGACCTCACTTACACGCGGAATCTGAAAGCAGAGAACTCAGAAGCAGAGGGTGGTCACCAGAGGGAGGGTCGGGGGGAACCGGGAGGGTGTTGGCAGAAGGCTGCAGCATCTCAGTTAGACGAGAGGAGTAAGTGAGGAGGTCTAGGTACCACACGGTAAATGGTTTGTATACTTGAAAATTGCTAAGAGATGAGATCCTAAGTGTTTTCACAAGCACAGGATGATGATAAGGATGTGAGGTGGCTAAATGTTAATTAGATGTTAATTAGCTTTGACAACTCATCTTACAGCATATACCTGTATCAAGACGTCACGTTGTACACCGTAAATATACACAATTTGTATCTGTGAATATAACTTAATGAAGCTAGAAAAAAATATTTTTACAGTAAAACAAGAAGCGTTTCTTCCATTTAAAAAAAAAGCATCAGGTAAAGGACTTTTAAAGATGACAGTAGCCAAGTCCTTCCTCAGACAAATACATCAGATGGAGCCTGGGCACTGGTATGTTTTTAAACTTTCTCCAGGGTGATCCTGACTGACATAGAACTAGGGTCAAGACCTAATATTTCCGTGAACAGGCTAAACAGACTCACTGGAACCAGTGCGTCCACCTTCCTCACCAGGTGCACTTCGCACAAATCTTCGACTCCAGGTCACCGCGCGTCTGCGCCCGGCTGTTTCAGCTCCCTGGGCTCACCAGACGGCTACAGCGGCCCCTCCCTCTCCCTCCACCCACGCGCGCCCCAAGAGGGGAAAGCCAGGCACGTGTTTGAGGGTCCTCTCAGCCAATCGTCACCAAATCCTCTCATTTCCTTCTTTCCAAAGCTTCTAACATCTGACCCTTCTCATTCTTACAACCGCCAACCCTCACCCCATGGCAAGACCATAGAGGCAGCTCGCAAAGCACACCCCGTCCCTAAGCAGTGTGGAGGTTCCTCAAAAGGAGGAAGCATTGGTTCACCACGGGTTCTACCAATTCCACTGCTGGACGTTTACCCAAACGAACCGAAAGCAGCAACATGGGGAGAGAGCTGCACGCCGTGTTCACAGCAGCGCCATTCACAACAGTCAAGGAGAAGTGACCCGGGATCTGTCCACAGAGGAACGGAAACCAGTGTGGTCCATCCACACAGTGCAGTGTGGCTCAGCCTCCAAAAGAAAGGGCATCTGACACATTGACATGTGCAGTAACAAGAAGACATTATGCCGTGTGAAATGAGTCGGTCACTAAATGACAAATCCCGTGTGGTTCCACTTCTAGGATGGCCCCGGAGCAGTCAGATTCAGAGTCAGAAAGCAGGATGGGGGTGCCGGGGCTGGGGAGGGGAATGGGAGTGAGTGTTTCATGGGGACAGAGTTTTACTTGCCGAAAAGGAAAAAGTTCTAGAGACGGAGGTGCTGATGGCTATACAGCAACGTGAATGCATTTAATGCTGCTGAACTTACTTACAAAGGACTAAGATGAAGAAATGCTTTCTGTTTCTACAATCCTGCCTGCACCAAGCCACCCGTGTGACATTCTGCCTCCTTCGCCCCCCAGCCTCTCCCTTGATTCTCACTTTGTGTGCCTAGCCCAGGGTCCGAATCCGGGCAAAGCTGGCCTCCCCAGAGTGACTCCTGCACTCTTGTTTCGGTTCTGTGCCCCTTGCTGCAGCCTCCAGGTTCTTCTCACTGTGCCTGTGCCCAAGAGAAGGCCCCTGGGGCACGTGGGGGCCACTGCTATGGAGAAGAACTGGCATAGACACAACTAGGGCATTAACATTGTCCAGAGACAGTGCAAAAGGCAGCTGAGCTACCTCCAAAGCCTCAAGAAAACAAATGTCAAATGAGTCACATGCATTTGGAAGCCTCCCTAGGTGGACTGAGTAGTGAAGATTCATCGCGATGGATTATTACCAGAGTGAGGTTTGAAAAACAGATGCCTAATTATTCCAACACAATAGCCATTGCTGCTTCCTAATGAGAAGTTGAAATACTTTCACTCGTCTATTTCCAAGTGAAGAGAGGCTGTGTAGAACGTCAGTTAGCAACAAATTTAGGACCCAGTTGCAGTGGATAATGGACTGTCATCCTTTACAACTCTACCCATTTCCATCATCTTACATTGAAAAGCAAACATTTTTTGGCGGTATTTTTCTTTAACAGAAATCACAGCTTTATGTAAAGTGGACTCCTTCAATTTTCAGCATTATTCTTTAGGCAAATCAAACCAGCAACAGATGCATTGGCTAAAAGTCCGAATTACGTTTTTAAAAATGCACATTTAAATATGAATTGAACTTGTGATCCATGACCCAGCCCTGAGTGCTGTCACCGCAGACAGCCATCAGTGGGTTGAGGAAGAGGGCAACAATCTTTTAGGTTAGAGAATAACCACAGACAGCAAACCTCTTTTAGGCTAGAGAATAACCACAGACAGAGCCACTGATGGGCTCCCGTCTTCAGCTGTGGTTTGTCGTTGATTGTATTCAACCATTTGATGTCAAATGTATTCAACATTTCACATCTTTAACACAAGCATTTGGCCTTCTTCTTGTAAGCATAGCTCCATGTCAAAAGACTGATGGAAAATATGGCACCAGCTTTACTGTGCCAGTGGCAGCTCAGAAATGAAATTTCCACGTGATTTTAACCAGCACCAGGGAAAGTATGTCGTGGCAGCCTCTCCCCGGGTCCTTGGAAGGAAGAGCACAGTCATACTCAGCATCCAGACCCCAGTGTGTGGGGCTGGCTGGAGAGATGAGCTGCTTCCTGCCAAGGAAGGGCTGTGTGAAAAACGCAAATATGGGAGCTCCCTGCTTCCTGAGGTTGCTTTGAATACGTTTAGTCACAGAGGAGCAAGGGAAGGAAGGGTCCTTCATCTCTGGAGACATGCATTGTTTATGTGAACGGCTGCCTGAGTTCCTGAGGGCCAGGAACAGCTCTTCCTCACCCAGCACTTCTGTAATGTTTAAAAACTATTATTTTTGGAAAAAAGTGTCCCAATGTACTTAGTTCTTTTTAGCTCCCTTTCTAAAGGCAAACATGCTAACGTGTGTTTGTGGGAAGGTCCCGATGGTGGGAGCTGCCCGGAGCTTGCCGGGTTCTGTCCGGGCCCCGCCACAGTAGGGCTGATGAAGGTACTCTACCTAGATCCTCTTCTGCCGGCCCTGGAAAGCTGATGCCCGGCTGGACCAGGTCTCCACCTTCTTCCTCTGCAAAGACAGAAACAAAGTCACTCTTTAATGCGTTTCTGGTATAGACTGTAGTCACTCCCAGCACATCTTCAAAAGCCTCCACACTCAACACAGTTCAAACATGACGGACACCTTCGTATTTCTTCAAATGTCACTGCTCAGAGCCCAGCATTTTGTGCCAATAACCTCAGGAACAACCACTGTTTTCTGTAAGGAAGCATTGTGACCACAGATGCACGTATTTCTCCTACCTAGACACGGACGTAGGCAGTGAGTCCCAATGATTCTCAGCTTTAACTCTGACCTAACTTCAAATTTATTAGGCCTTATTTGCACTGGAACAGACTTCAGTAAAATCAGCCCACTCTGATTGTCCCTGGTTCCTTGCAGCTGGGTGAGTCCCGCGAGGGCCCCGCGTCGTCCATGATAAAGACTTTCCTTCCTGTCTAGAAAGCTTCATGCCATTCGAAGCCTCATTTTGCAATGTTCAAAGTCTGCAGTTGTGGTCTTAGTGTTTAATATTAGTTCATATTAGGTCCACTTTGACCAAAACACTGATTTCATTTCCCTCTGTTGGGAGATCATCCAGGTCACTGGCATTGATTTTCCATTGTTCACTCTGTGCTAACACAAAAGCAGACATCACTTTCTTAGAATGATATCACCATGTGGCTGTAAAAGGTCTTGGGGTCACTGAGCACTGTCCTCCCTCCATGTGTGGGGCAACAGGGACCTGGGGAGACGGATGAGCTTGTGATTTTATTTAACTGGTCCCTGGGGAGCTGGACTGAGCGCCATCCAGTGGCTCTCCTCCCGATGTGCTCTGCCCAGGAAACCAGGTGCCAACTCTCCAGGCCGCCTTGGTTTCTACCTGGCTGCAGAGGCAGCGCAGACACAGCCGGATCCCAGGGAGGCTCTGCCCCACACCAGCCACAGTGAGAGGGGTGGGGAATGGCCTGAGGAGGCGGACAGGGAGCATCAGATAAGGCAGCATTTGGCACCATGTTACACATGCCCGTAAACATGTTATTTATGGGGTATGTATCAGAACGATGACACATGTATGTACACACATCTTTGTCACCACTTTGGCATATGTGCCCAAAATATAATTATAAATATGATTGCAGGTTCGGACTCTAGGCATGTATTCACACATACATGGGTTTCCAATGTTCATGGACAGGCTTTGAGGCACATCTCACATTTGCCCCCACCCCTGACCCAAGTGTTAGATGCAGTTAGCCAGGCTGTAGTCTGCAAAAGGATTTACTTCAGAACATGATGCTGGAGCCACTTACACTGCTGTCACCACCCCTGTTTCAGCAAATCGGCATCTGCTGTTTTCAGTGAGTTGGCAGAAGGTCAGGAAAGGAAGATGACAGATTTGGAATGTGAGATGCTGATGAAGAGGATACAGTTGCCTCTCAGGTAATGTGAACTAAGATTTCATTTTATGGGATTGCCCAGTTACAGCTTTTTAAAAAATATACATGTATAAGAAGTAGCTATGTGAATTAGGTTAAGTATTTTACGAGACAGCTCATTCAAATGATTTAACATAACTCAACCCCATTTCTTCAAGGCTAACAGCACTTTTTGCATACTCTAAGTTGCATCTTTCAGCTAATGAAATACATCTGCCAAATGCCCACATTAAGTATAACATAAAGCCACAGACTGGAATGGTCTCATTCATGTAAAAATATGATGGACAGTTCTAATTAAGTACAGTTTCCATGGAGACCATCATCACATGTGTGAGTAATGTGAGAACAGAGCATCCAGCTAGGTGAGAATGGAATTTGGGGATAAACTAAAACAATGGACCCTCAGCCTCCGCCCTCCTTATGCCCGAGTTTCAGCACACATGCAGAGACAAGGCAGGGCTCCCACCAGGTGGACTTGAAGGATGGGCCAACATCACACAGTTGCAATGACAAGCATGGGCGCTCTGCTAACACCACCAGCAGCAGCAGGCATGGAGTTTAGCAAAGCCACGTGCTTCACACAGAGCACAAGCTTGGTCTCAGAAGCCTGTGCTTTGCTCGAGGAACACACCTAATTATCTTGAGAATGGCACTCCAAAGATGAGGCGTGGGGACGTTCGAAGGTCAGCCCTTGAACTGGAGGAGTACAAATGCTTTGCTGCCTGATCTCCTCCCACCTGCCCTTGCTGTTTATCGGATGAGATAATAGGAGGTCTGAAAGCCGCGTGGCTCAGGCAACATGGCCCAAAGTTAAAAATCCAGCATGGGCTGAGAGTACATGTATGGAAGGTTTCCGAGTGTGGTGTGGCCTTCCAGCTAGGAGAGCTTAATGTAGCATGTGTGTCGGTATAACTGTGGTTACCATCCTTCCTTATCTAACAAGGCTTTGTATTCCCCCCCTTCTCGGAGGTTCTCTTCCCGTGGCTTCAGTCACGTGAGGTATGGAATGAGCGATTTTGAGAGAGACAACGAGACCACATTCACAGACCTTTTATTACAGTAGATTGTTATAAGTGCTGATTTCATTATAGTTATTCAGATTACTCTCTTACTGTGGTTAACCTACCAGCTGAGCTTTATCATGGGTGCACACACACAGTGAGTTCTACACTCCGGCTTTCTTCTTGTCTTGCCCAAATTCCTATCCAGGGGGCCTGGGGAGTCATGCCCTACAAACCATGGAGTCTCACTAGAGGGGTTTTCTTTACCTGCATAACGTGGCTCACTTTCCAACCTGACTCTGGCACCACATCATGTGACAGATAAAGAAGGAAATAAAAATATTTCAATCCTGAATGTGTGGGTTTTTTTTTTTTTTTTTTTTGCCATATCTTGAAATAGTCCAGGAAAATCTACGTTCTAAAGAGTATTCCCTTCCTTTTCCTTCCTTTTCCCAGATCCAGGAGAGAACTGACTCTGGTAAGAAGCACTTACCATCCATCCCCTCTGCACCCTGCTGCCGGGAGGCTTCCCCTGCACAATGGGAACCGTGTCTCCATAACTCCTTATCTTCACCCAGACATTGCTTTCTATGGATTCTAGGTCTTTAGACAATAATTTAACTCTTTCAACCAACAGCCAGTCGGAAAATGTTTGACTCCATAATGACTTGGGAGGCCCCACTTCCAGCTGTCCCGCCTTGCCAGACCCAACCAACGTACATCTACAGGTATTGACCGATGGCTTATGTCTCCCTAAAGTGTATAATACCAAAAGCTGTATCTTGACCACGCTGGGCATGTGTTCTCAGGATCTCCTGAGGGCTGTGCCACCGGCCATGGGTCACTCATATTTGGCTCAGAATAAATCCCTTCAAAATACAGAATTTGACTCTTCTTGTGGACAATAGGAAAAATCTACCTACAAGTGCTGGCACTGGCTGAGGTTTCAGGCATCCGCTGGGGGTCTTGGAACATGTCCCCGTGGACAGAGGGGACTAGGGTACTTCTACCACGTTCCCATCCCCAGTCCAGAACGCTCACTGGGCAAGAACGCTGTTCGCCTGGACAGGCGTGGGTAGGGCCATGTTCTCCTCCTCCTCACATCTTCAGCATCTGGGACGGGAGAAATGTTAATGACCATCTCAGCCACCTCAGAAATGCCCTTATCTATGCTTAAAGAGACACAGGAACCCTCGTTCTTTCCGTAGATCTCTCTCTCTCCTGGCCGCCTCCTATGAGGGAGGAGAGCGGTTTGCTCCACCGACCATGGGAAAGATGGGCCGCAGGGCCTAGGAAGCCAGCCTGGCTGCCGTCATAGAACCACAGCTCCGCCTGCGCGCTGAGACCTTCTGAAATCAGGCGACGGAGCTCCCTCCACCTGGCGTCCTTATTTCCCACGGTCCAGACTGAACACCTCCCAGGGAGAGGCTCGGTGCCGACCCAGCCCCTGCCCACGCTGATCACGCTGCGACACTGACAGCGCCGACCTCCCACATCACGTTTCCGTGGCAAAACCAGACACGTGCCTTCCACTGAGAAGTGCTGGGAATCACCCATTCACGCGTGGGATGCGCGTCTGTCTTCACTGGAGAAACGCAACTTTCACCACGGCCACTCCACGTGGGGCTTCCTCACTCAGGCCCCTCACTTCGGTCCCTTCTGGCAGAACGCGCTTCAAGAGTCGCCTTTCTCACCTGCTGGAGCTCCATGAAGGCCGCGCTCCGTAACGCGTGGGAGACCCCTTGAACCGTGTTCCCTAACGCGTGACCCGGAGACCCCGTGAACCATGTTCCCTAACGCGTGGGAGACCGTGAACTGTCTCCCTAACGCGTGACCCGGAGACCCGGTGAACCGTGTTCCCTAACGCGTGGGAGACCCTGAACCGTGTTCCCTGACGCGTGACCCGGAGACCCCCTGAACCGTGTTCCCTGACGCGTGACCCGGAGACCCCCTGAACCGTGTTCCCTGACGCGTGACCCGGAGACCCCCTGAACCGTGTTCCCTGACGCGTGACCCGGAGACCCCCTGAACCGTGTTCCCTGACGCGTGACCCGGAGACCCCCTGAACCGTGTTCCCTGACGCGTGACCCGGAGACCCCGTGAACCGTCTCCCTAACGCGTGACCGGGAGACCCCGTGAACCGTGTTCCCTAACGCGTGACCGGGAGACCCCGTGAACCGTCTCGGGGAAGCTGCAGCAAAGCGGTCGAGCGATTCCGTGCCCCGGTGCTTCCGCGGAGTCCGCACCCAGCCCTCCCCCAGCACCGCACCCCTCCGGGCCCAGCAGCGGAAGCGTGGATGGCGTGTGCGGTGCCTCGGGTTCCGCCTGGAGAGCGCGGACCTGCCCCGCGTGGACACAACACAGGCGCACTTTCTAGCATTTCTGATCACCCTTGAGCTTCAGAGAAACGGCTGCCCTGCCAGTCCCCTGTGGCCCAGCGGGGTCTGGTGGGTCTGAGGGTCTGTGACAGCCCTTAGTGAAACACAGGGCGCCGTGAGCACTGCGGGGTACCCACGTTGCCTTCCTTTGCTAAGTGATGAGTCGTCTCAGTGTCACAAGCTGCTCACGCTTCCTGGAAGGAAGACTC